AATCTTTTTTTTGCAAGTTAAAACTGAGCTAATGACACTGGGTGGGGCTCAGTGTTGAGGACTCCGAAGCCAAACCAGAATTAGCTTCCAGCCAAGAGCTGCTTGGCCTTACCATTTGGGGAAGGAAGCTGAAAAAGTCATGAAAGATTCTTTAGTAAAATGGGAAATAAGGCTGCAGTTAACATTTCAACTGAAGGTGACCCTTCTGGTGAAATATTTTTTTTAATAATAAAAATAACATAAAGTTCTCAAACAGCCTTTCTTAAAGAAAATGGCTGTGTACATGTTCTCGTGGGAGTGGAAGGGAAGAAAAAAAAACACAAAACAGAAAACAGGCTAGCCGTTTCTCAGCCACTACCTTTCACGAACCACTTTTTTCTGGAGTTCTTCTTAAAAAAGAGGTGACGCAATTTCCTGTCTTGTCCCAATATTTCCTGTTAACTTACAAGGTGAAAGTTATCGCCCTGTTTTAAATGACTGTCCTCAACACCGCTGAAAGTCCCTTTTCCCAGCCAGTGCCCATCCCGATTAAAACATGTCCCCATCTTAGAGTATAACTACGATCATTTTCTACACCTTTAAGAGTTGGCTTCAAAAGAAGCCTGTTTCTCTCTATGGCAGATACTGAATCTACAGGGGCAGCTTCCACGGGAATGGCGCTAGTAGCCCAGATCTCCAAGGTGAACCCACGGAGAGAAACAGGCTGGGGGGCAGCCGAGTCCCCCAAGTGAGCCAACAGGTTTAGGTAGAGTGGCCAGGATCAGGTGAGTGTTGCTTTCTTGGTGTGTTAACCACTAAATTGAGAACTGTGCCTCAGCAGTTAATAATATCTTCCTGCTGAAAATAGCCGGGAGAGGAAGCCTCTGTGTGACAGTAGGCAGGCGGCCAGCCTTGGGGCTAGCCATTCAATACTGAGCGAGAGGTGGTAGGGCCAGTGGTGACCTCCCAGCGGCTGTGCTTACAGTATCCTTTCACGAGGCTCCTGTGAAGGGAGGGCGCCCGGGCCAGTCACCTGCGGCCTCTGCTGCCCTAGAACTTGGGCAAGGACATCACAGGGACTGGGGTCTCCAGTGGCCCAGGAAGGGTCTGGATCGCCAGCTTTGGGAGCCAACCCTGGCACCATCCTGGTTCACAGTCACTAGGCTGGGCAGGCCAGGGGACCCCCGCGGCGTGAGAACAAGCATATTCACTTCCCCTGGCAGAAAAGTCAGGCCAGGAATCAAACCAGAGGGAACTTTCCTGTCTCTCATTTCTGGAACCCACGAAGAAAAACGGAAGGTCGAAAGATCAACACAGATGTGTCTGCTTGCTCAGGTAACACACAGCAGAAGGCCAGGCCTGG